TTTTACAAGAAGACAAGGAGGGGGCAAAGCCTTGTGTTTTATTTGAACTATGCTGGAGGCAAGACAAACTACTTTAATCGGTACGGTAGTGACAATATGTAAAGAACCATGTGACCAGTCCATTCCCAACGCTAAATCAACACCTTGTCAACCCAGAGCAACATAGGAGAGAAAAACAAATGTCATTTTCTCAACCTAATCTCCATACAAATCCCCACACGATGGAATAATATTCCCAAAAGATACCATATATTATAGAAAAGTCACGGTGGGGAACTGTCAGCAACAATACACCAGCGGACAATCAGGGAAGTCAATTATTTCGTGTAGTACTCTTGAAAAATATATTTCTTACCCCCACTTCAATCATTTCAGAACCTAAAATAGGACCAAGCTTCCAGACCTGTCTGAAGTACATTCTCAAAACCGCTTTCAATAGAAATCTAGGAACCTTTGAAACTTGGAAGATGCAACTGAAGTTTTAATTCTTAGGGAATTTTAATGAAGGAAATACCAATCAACATACCTCAATGGCTGAAACTAACAGCTTCAGAGTAATAAAAAAGGTAAAAACAAAACAAAGTCTCTTTTATGAAAGTGATCATAGTGGCAACTGGCAACTTCAACCAGAAAACTTCATGTGTGATTCCTCAGTTATCTCTGGATTACTTGTTTACAAGACTATTGTCAACATATTGTTAAAATAAATCTAAGTGGAGTTGCAGAGGAGTTGTGGGTGGAGCACTGTCCCTAAAGAGTAGCAATATTTAAATCCATGTGGTTGACTAAAGACAAACTTTTTTAAAGAAAACTCTCCTTGTGAAACCACAGGACCTTTCCTAGAAAGGTAGCAAGGTGATACTTATGTCTCCTTGTGAAAGCATATCACACTAATGCCACCGAACATCAAGTTTAGGAAGGGACTTCAATAAAAATAGCTGTCTTTATTTCTCCACTGCACAGAAAACACCAAACACAAATACAAATACACAGGACAGTCAAACCTCAGTGGAGAGTAATCTACTGGTTAGCTCTTAACATTTATGTCACAGGTACTTGACTAAAACCTTTCCAAATTCATCTTAAGTCTTAATTCACACAACTCTTCTAACTCAGTTCTGAAGAATTTGGCCACAGTCCTATTATCATCTATAATGCTAGTAAATATCACTTTGTTACTTACATAAAAATCAGTTCTTTATCTTTTTATACAACTTGAAAGTCCTGGCAACCTAAGGATGACTTCCAAAACGTCTGACACGCTTGACAGATTTAAGAAACAATCTCTTGCACCTTAGAAATGAAAGCCTTTCAGGTTCCAACACAGAAAACTGCCAGGCAGGCAAGTAAAAATGCACCAAACGTACCACAGTAAAAATACTCAATAGTTAAAACTTGCCATTATAACATACTCGGTAAGGGCTGTCAGTTTAGTTGGGAGGCCTAACACCAGTAATGTCAAAATGAAGCAAAACAGAAGCAAGTTCTCATGTTAACAATCAGCTTGACTATTGCAATCTAAGAAATGCAAATGAACTCCATAACCCCAGTTGGGGTTCACAGCCCAGTAGAAGTATGGGTAAAGTTTGGGTTAACTTGCCTCCTAGGGAGAATTTTGCCTAGTTGGGTACTTAATGCACATCCCAGAACTTGGTGGTATAGTACTAATGAATTTATCAAGTACAATTAAATGTGTGTTTTTTTTTTTTTTTTACAAAAGCATATGTGTGTACACACATGCATACGTAGTGACTTTTATATGGCTTTAAAGATACTGTTACTAGGCATATAATTTGCACAGGTAGGTTATTTCAAACACCTTTGCACTCTGGGGCAAATGTATGGGAATGAACTCAAATATTAAAAAGTTTGTAAATTTGTTCATAAAATCAATCTCTAAGGGATAATGATCGGTCTACTTAAAATAAAATTCAAATATTAACATAGTCAGGTAAGTTAGTATATACTGCCAACAATTTGCATTCTTAACTTTCAAGTCTTTACTATAGCTTACAATGTGTTTTCAGAACTTGAGGGTTAAGGTTCCTATAAAATATATGTTGAATACTCGTAACATTCTAGGTACCACCAACCTACTCTTGGATTTGGATAAACATGCCCAGAATTTTGCCTACTTTAAGAGAAGGGGTTAAAATACATACCTCTCTTTCAAATATTGGACCGTGACCACTAAGCCCACTAAATCCTTTTATTGCAATTGGGAATGATCAAAGTCTCTCTACTTGTTTACTTCCAATCATTAACTGTAAATTTCTGGGGAAAAGATCATGCTATATCGCTGTCAAACCCAAAAGACTATGTAAACATATGTAGTCAACTTTTTGGTGCTCCTTTTCCAAAGCATCTCTTTACCACATGACCTATGCTAACATTTAGCAAAACCTATAAAACGCAGTGGACTCAAGTCATGGTTCTAAGTGCACCCCATAGTAGAGGTTGAGAGAAAAACTGCAGTCACCGAGGAGGAAAAACAGAAAAAGAGAAAAAGAATGGGGGGGGGGGTGGATGGAAACCTCTTGCAAGACTAACGTCCAGTCACCATCATCACTCCAAAAAAAGCTCCAAATTTGAAATGCCCACTTCCCAGTGCGCACGTCCCAAGTACTGTTTAGAGAACTTATCTAAGACTCCCAACAAATAACACCTTGAAAACTTTACCATTTTAAACACAAATGCAGGAGACCTTGGAAACAACTGGGAACCGCCATCTTACAAGCCATCCAATTTCACACAAGTGTCCCTCCAACTTAAGTTAATAACATTTTTGTTTGAGCTCTTTCCAGTTTAACATCCACCTTGGCGGGATCGCGGCCCCCCACGTAACCCGTCCCTATAAAATGAGGGCATTCTCTGGATGTTTAAACCCCTCAAAAGCCCTTTCTTCGGGAGAAGAGGGAAGCCACTTGACCCGAGCAGCTCCCGATTTCAGGAACCCGTCCCCGTTTCATCAAAATCTACCTCTCAACAAAGGGCGCCGTGGCGGGGAGAGCCGCAGAGACTGGAAATAGAAGTGTTCTTCTCGGGGGCCATGTGCGTCGCGAGGGTGTAGAGGGGCGCTCGGGGGAGAAAGGAACTAAAACGTGGGGCCGCGCGCGGCGCGTCCGGGGCTGGAGCGGGCGGCGGCTGGAGCGGCGCCGAGCCCGGCTGGCGGCGGCGGCGGCGGCGGCGGCGGCGCGGCGCGGGCTGCGGGTCGGTCCCGGCGCCGCGGGAGTCGGCGGGCGGCGGCGGGCGCGCGCTCGCGGGCGCGGGCGGCGCGCGGGGCCGGGCGGCGCGCGGGACCGGCGGGCGGCGGCGGGCGGCGGCGCGGGGCTCGGCGCCCACGGTGTCAGCGCCCTCCCGGCCGGCGCGGGAGAGGCGCGGGGGGGGCCGCTCCCCATCCACCCGCGGCCGGCCCGAGCCCCGCGCGGCCCCCGCCGCCCCCCGGTCCAGTCCCGGAGGCGCCTCGCCTTCTACGTACCCGGAAAAAGCAGCCGGCGAGAGGCGATCGAAGCGGGCGGAAAAGACAATGAAAGTTAAAAGTCGTTCAGCAGAAAATGAATGTGAGCCAAGCGGCCATCTTGAAGCGAGCTGCAGACGCCGCTGTCAATGGGCAACGAGCGCAGCCGAGAGGAGCCGCGGCCGCCGCGCTCGGCTCATGCTGCCTCCCGAGCCCGGCCTCCTCCTCCTCCTCCTCCGCCTCGGCCTCCTCCTCCTCCGCGGCCTCCTCCTCCTCCTCCTCCTCCTCGGCCTCCAATGCCTCCTCCTCCTGGGCCTCCTCCTCCTCCTCCTCCTCCTCGGCCGCCGCCGCCTCCTCCCGCTCCGCACTCGGGGGAGGGAGCGCGCGGAGGGGGCGCGATCAGTATTATTCTGCGGGGCTGGGAGGTGTTTCTAATCCGGATCGGGGCTCCCTCGCCAACATCCCCATTGTCTCGCCCCGATCTCTGCCTTTAATACTACGATTATTATTTCATAGTTGCTGTGGGGGGAGGAGGGCGAGTGGGGGGCGCCGTGTGTGTGCGTGCGGAGAGGCGGGGGGAGGGGAGAAAGGATGAGGAGGGGGGAGGGGAGGGTGGAAAAAAAAATGCACCGCTGAAGGCAGAGTGGAAACTGACACCGGCTCCAAAATGGCTCAGAGTCCGCCCGCCCCCTCCCCCCGCCGCCCCCCCACCGGGTCACGTGCTCCCCTCATTCCTTAAGGGCGGCCTGGGAATTAGTGTCGGTGTAGTCGGGCCCGCGGCCGCCCCCTCCCCTCCGAGCAGCGCGACCCGGCCCCCCTCCCCCTCGCTCTGCACGGCGGCGGCGGCGGCGCTGGCGCGGCTGCGGAGGCATTTCTCCACAGCGCCACACGCGCCACCCTGCTCTCGGAGCGGGCATCGCTTCGGCCCCGCACACCGCTCAGCCCACCCCACCCCCCGTTATTTCTTTCTTTCCGCCGCCCGCCTCCGCCCGCGGCGCACACGTCCACTGGCTCCCGCCGAGGAGAGCACCCGGCCACCGCCCCCGCCTCGGCCCCGCCAGCCCAACGGGCTGAGGCCCAGACTCCGGCGCTGCGGCGCGGAACCTGCGCCCGAGTTGGGCTCGCGGAAACAACAGCGCCCGCCCCTGTCTTCCCGCGGCCGCGCCGGCCCCCTTCCCCGCCCGCCAGCGGCCGAGGCGGGGCGCGCGCGGGCAGTGGCTCGCTCCGGGTAGGGGCTCCGCGCGGGGGCTGGCCGGGCCGGGCCTCGGGAGTCCCGCAGGCGAGGGTCCGGCTGCGGGCGAGCCCCCCCCCGCCCCCGGCGCAGGTAACGGGACCGGCCGGCTTCCGACGCGGGGCAACCACGTCCGCTCCCGAAGTCCCGAAGCTGGGGTCTTCAACAAACCCCGGAGATCGCATCTTTTCTCACTGTGTTTAACTTTAATCCAAAGAAAAGGCGATCGTTAAAAGTTAACGTTAATCGTATGTATGTCTTTAAAGTAATAATTAACACACAAACTCAGATCCAAACAAACTCTCTCCACTCTTTTTGTGGGAACAACTTATTTATTCAGAGTGTAATACTGTCTACTTCCTTTTGTAAGACTTGAGAAAGATCAAAATGGGATCAATGTACAGTTTATACTAAAGATGTCTGAAATACTTAGGCAGAATTTCCCTCAACTCTTTTACAAGTGTAAAAAAATAAAGTGTCAAAATTGATGAGCGGCATAAATCCAAAAGGAAAAAAAAATTCTACTTAAGAGGAGGACATCCAGCTCGCACAAACGGTGTTTCGGCCGACGACAAGGCGTTCCTGGTCTTCCTCTAGACCCGGGCGGATCGTTAACTTCCCCAAGTTACAACTGAGTTGCTCTTTCCAGACTTTTCGAAGCATCTTTAAGTTTCCCCACTAAGTCCTAAAAGACGTTTATAATATCACGTTTTTAGGATAAAACACAAGACAGAAGTATCCAAGTTTGAGAAAGATGCAAGAAAAAAGTCGGGGCACTTTCTAAACGAGTTTAAAATTCACGAGGATTTTAACCTTTGACAAACCACTATCGATCAAAAGAAGGTTTTCCTCTAAAATATCTCATCTTCAAGTGGGCTACTTTCCCTCAGATTTGAAATATAATTTCCAATCGAATCCTCGTAACAGGCAAGGTATCTCAAAACTAAATTCCTCAAGTTACCTAAAAAAACTATACTGTATTCATACTTTCTGAAAGTTTAAAGTTTGGTTAATGGTTACATTAAAACAATTCCACAGGAGATGCCTTTTGAAAAATTCAAAATTCATCAAAATTTCAAGTAATGCTCTTCATTTTTTTAAGTGGTAAGAAATAAATTCGTTATCATGTCCATTAACCAATGTAGTTTTGAATTTTTCCAGTCTTATATTGGCAATATAAAGAGTTTTGGAATTTTATGTATACTTCCTCCTTTATAAAAAGTCATTTAAAAATTATTGAAAATCCTGTTTGAAAGTTTAATTCAATTTCTGAAAGCAAAGAAGACATTTTCAAAGACATGTTCTTAATTTTGCTTTGTCCTATTGGCGCAAACTAATCACAAATAGAAGGAATACTACAATACTACAATACTCAGTACTACAATTCAGAAATTTATCTTAATCAGAGGGAAAAGCAAATATAAAACCAATTCTTTATGAGTAACATCTTAATTTCAAAAGTGAAGCCTACTTTAAAATATTGCTTTTGAAGCCATTTCCTATTAAATTCTTAACCAACCTTCATTATCTGCTGACAGATGGTTAGATAATTTTTCTTTTGAACTTTCTGTAAGCATAATTCTCAATTAAACATCTATAAACAGAGAAGTATATTCACAGATCCTAATACTGTACCTGTAATTGTTCCATGCTGCAACTAAAACTAATCTCTGGGTGGGATCGGGAATCAGTATTCTAGGGAAGAAAAAAAAATGCTCTTTATGTAAATCAAGGACATTTAAAATTTCATTTCAAATTTAAATTTTAGATAAGGCTTATATGTAAATACCTCTACATTTAAGGTCACCAAATATGCAGGTCTGTACATCTTATGAAGTTGATTGGTCTAAAACAACACAATACATAATTTCAGTCTTTAACTCTATTTTTTTTTAAAGTTCCCTAAATCCCCCTAGAGAACAGTTATTAAACTTTACCTTTATCTGATATTCCAAACGCCAAGAAACATCAGTTATATGAGGGAGAGATCTGCCTATACTAAAAAATACAATGATAATTTTGTACATAGTATCTACATAAAAACTTTCAGTATTTATTTTTACCAAGAATGGTGTCTACTTCCCCCCCCACACACATACACATTTTCAATTTACTCTGAATTTAAAACATTGTTAAACTTTATATTCAAGTTCTGAAGAGTAAAAGAGCATTTTAAAAATTATCTCAATAAACTTTATCTTTAAAAACATTAGCTTAACTTCAATTGTTTCACTTGCCCTTTGGCCCCTTTTCTTTTGGTCAAGATCCCTGTCTTTTTTCCCTGTTTTGTTTCACACCAGCACTCTCCATTCATACCTGCAAGTGAAAAGTGGCTCAGCTTGACACCTTATACAGTACCTACCTTCCCAGTAGGCTTTCTAGGGAATTCTTATTATTCTGGAGGGAGGAAAGAAAGAAAGAAAACACATCTTTGCAAAGAGAAGAAAAATAGTAATTGTTAATTTAAAAAACTTTAAGTAAGTAACCTGATATTCCACGCAAAACAGTTCTATTCGCTCTCTATCAAATTTACAGTCTTCTAGATAAGTGCTAAAGGGGGGGAAAAAGCCAAAGTTTAGTGTCCATTTTAAAAAACTGAAATTGGAATCTTAAAAGGTACTATTTGAAAACAAATGGATATTTAAATAAATCCTGTACCTTAGAGTTGATTTGTCAGCTCTTTGCTTTCCTGCCTCCAGTATGTAAGTTGCAGCTGCTGTGTGACAATGTTTTAAAACCACAGGATCGATATGTTTCAAGTCTGGGTGATCTAAAATAAATTAATTGCTAGTGATGCCTGTGATAATAAATTCTTTATAGTCATGTTTCTAAAATGGATATTTTCATTTGGGCAAAAATCCCCTTTAACAAGAACACAAAAAGAATTCAACTATAAGGACTGGTAATTATAAGTAAATGAGATGAGCAACAAGGTCAATGGAAAACAAAAAAGAACACACATCAATAATTCTGCTGTTACCAATCTCAATTACCTTCTTTTATTTTACCTTAATTTCCTGTTTTTAAAAAAACATTGTAGCCCCAAAGAAAAAAAATAACTACACAGTGGTCATTACAATGCTGGTTGCAGTATATTCAGAGGAAAATAAGATAAATATTTTACATGGTGTAAATTTAAGAATGAATAAACTTTCCCTCTAAAGAATGGTTACTTTTAGGATAACTGGCTCCAAGGACATTAACGTATCAGAGGCGGGGAACGAGTTCAGAATATAAAACACAATTTTCAAAATATTTTCAGATTTTGACAGCTATCCTTTTTTTGAGATTAACCCAGGTGGTGGTTACTATTTTCGTTTAAAGAACTTCCACTTTCATACTTTTTGTACAAGTGTTTAGATCATGAAACTACAGAAAAAAACAAAATTTGAATTGTTGGGATATTTATATTTAAGAAAATGACCTAAAAGCGATCTGTCTTAAAATATGCCTTCAATCCATACTGACACGGCACTCGGCAATCACTGACCGGACCACTTAAAAGAGACTCCTCTCCTGGTAACTGGTGCGGAACAAAACACTCTGCACCGTATTTTAAGGTTCCAGGCGTGGAACCTGTGCAAAACATACTTAACTAGTGTGTTGGAGTGATCATAGGAACTTGAGGTATTCTCTAAGCTGGAAAATGTCAAGACTACGTGACCTAGTAATTACTTTGGAAACAGACTCTTTAAAACCTTTGCCAGCCTAGCACTGAACGCTTGAATTGCAGGGAGCTACCCTGATGAAGTCCAAGTGTCAACCAGCCTTTGCCTCAGACCAGGCTGAACACCTTACATGTTTAGGCCACAAACAAGACTTGAACACGGGCTTTACAAAGGAACAAAGAGACTGGGAGGAGAAATCAGACCAGAAACGTGTAGCAGGCTATGTGCAGGTGCCAACTGGGAACAGAACAATGGTCAGGGTCCGCTCCGGGTTAACATCCCCACACTCCGTCCGGAGCGAAGGGCAAAGCCGGGAGACTTCCTCTTCCCGGGGTTTTCCCCTCTCGCTCGGTCTCGCTCCTCTTCTCCGAGCGCCCCTCCACCCAGGCCGATCTAGCTCAGAGCCGAGCGGCTTACCTAACACGGCCTCGTCCGCCTGGGCGTCCAGCAGGCTCTGGAAAGCCGCCCGGAGGAGAAGCGTGAAGGCGTTGGAGTCGAAGGAGCCAGGATCTGCCAGCATCTGGAAGCCTTTCTGCACATACTCCGAGAGCTCCATTGTGAGCGCGCCGTGACCTTCGACACGCGCACCACGTGACACGCGCCGCGCGCTCAGCTGATGCGGCCGCGCGCGCACGCGGCTCGGGGCGGCGGCGCGGGCTGCGGGCCTCCCAGCCCGGGGCCTCCCCGCCTGCCTTCTGGCTCGCGCCTCGGCCCGCGCGCCCAGCCGCCCACCGTCCGTCGCCCGCCACCCCTGTAGTCCCTGGCGCCGCGGCTTCCGTCCAGCCCTTCCTTCCGCGCCAGCCGCGAGAGCTGCGGCGCCTCGGCGAGAGGGGCGGCCCGGGCGCTTTGTGGACGCGCTCGGTGCTTTCTCTTCCACTCGCGGCTCACCTAGGTCTGTCACCAGCTCCTGCGGGGCTCCGCGGGAGCGTTCCTTGAAAGACCCCCTTGGCGGGGAGGGGGTGGGGGGGCGTTGGCGGAAGGTGTCGGGATCCCGGCCGGAGGGATCCCGAAAACTTCGTCTTCCTTGTTCCTCAGCGCGAAAGCCTGCGGGGAGCTCCCATTTGAGGCAACTGGTTGTGTTGTGTTGTGTTGTGTTTTTGGTTTGGGGTTTTGTTTTGTTTTGTTTTGTTTTACTCAACAGCTTAACCTCCCAGCATTACCCTTTTGTGAGTGAGACTGTGGGCGACTAATGATAGAATTCTTGTTTATTTTTCCTTTTTCATTGTCATTTCTGGGATATGGCAGTTGATGCCTTCCTGCACGGATATATATGTGTGTACACATATATGCATACATATAGTGCGCGTGTGTTCTTACTGTACCTAAACAATTGAGGGATTAATAAATTATCCACAAACATATTTGACAGAATTATTAAAATCTTATGTGCCGCTGCAAATAAATATCATCCAAAAGCAAACTGACACAAATTTTGTGCTACTGTACTCGTTACATCTCTATGGTTTTAATTAAAGAATCTTCCATATATTTATATCAGGCAGTTGTTAGGAATGGCAAGGTCTTTACTAGAAGTGATTACTGTTGGATATCCATAACTTTAAAGACTCAAATATTGTATAAAGTTTTTAACTTCCCCTTTATATTTCTACAAAGTTAGAGAACAAGAGTGATTCTTTGGGGAAAAAAAACGAGAAGCAAAGTAGATTATGCATTTTTGATTAAAAGAATTTAAAAAGAAAAGTTAAAAAGCAAGTTCTTTACGGTGGAGGGGAGGGATAAGGAACAAGAAAGGTGTTTAGTCTTCAGGTGCGATTATTTGAAACAGACTCCAACGTGAAACATTTCTGTGGGAATAATTTAGGTGCTTATTTGGGGAAAAAATGTATCTGATGAATACAGTCAACATTTAACCTTGCAGCACTATATAGAGAGCACCTGGTTTCACAACAGGACACAAATGGAATAATTTAGCATCAGTAACAGATTGAGTAACTACTGAATTTTCCTTTCAAGGCTTTGAAAGGCATGTGAACTAACTCTTCACTTTGGTGAGCTTATAGGAGCAGTGAAGGATTTAAGGGTCTCCCTAGAGTCTTTATGAAACAAACACCTATTAATCATGTTCATCTTTTGTTCCATCTCTCATCTTCTTTCTAAACTCCTTGTTTCTCATCAGTAGTAAAATGTCAGTTGAAAAATTTCCAGATATCTGATTTACGTAGAGAATATTTTACAGGGCAGAGTTGTGTAAATGTTAATTTTAACACACAAGGTCATTATATTTATTTCACATACATTTTATGACTTTGCATAGCATTGATTGTTAATACTCTAATAGAATTTGAGTTGATACTTGTAATCATATTCAATGTAGTGTCAAAAAAGAAAGCATTAATGCTTGAGCATAGATTTTAAAATGTTATTTTAAAAGAGGAAAGTACATACCATAAATGGTTGTAACTTTGAGGTCATAAAAGTTAAGAAATTGACAGGGATTGTTTCCAAAATAGCTGTCATGTTACTCTCTTATACATATGTAATTACCTTCTCCTACAGGGCATTTATTTGTTCTCTTTTGCCTAAATATGTGTTAGGCCCAAATGATGACACAGCTCACACAAAAATTTTAATTATATATTTTTTGATACTAGAAAAGCTGAATTTTTCTACCATAGGTACATTTATTTCAACTTCCTTTGAAGGAAACACGGTTTAAATGTAGATAGAATATGTATACTCTCGACAAATAAGTCATTGAAATATATTGAAGTATGATCATTAAAAAGCATGGTTGCACAGATGTAGACTACTGTTTGCAGCAATAAAATCAATGCATTTTATATTGTTAGAAAAACTATGTATGAATACATTCTGAAAGTGTAAAAAAACTTTAAAATTTTTGCTTTGATTACTGCAAAGACCATTGGAGCTTACACTAGACTTTAAAAAATTCTGTAGGCTCAAAGCCAACAGACTAAATTTGGCCTCTTTAAATAACAGAACCTTTTTAAATAACACTTAAGTGCAGCTGAAAATAACTAAATACTCAAGTATCTTCATTTTATGATACTTTTTCCATTCTAAATTGCAAATGTTAAAGTAGATAATGCTGATAAATTTGTTTTTCTTTTTGAGAATCTAGAAATTACTCAAATAATTAGAAAGTATTTAAAACAATGTTTTAGAGTGTTTTAAAATCCATTGTATCCTTTGAGCTGTTAATTTTTTTTTCTTTTTAAGAAACCAATTTAATATTGGCCTCTGCACTGTGAGTACAATTAAAATGTGCTGGGGTATTTACAAGATCTATGTGGTCAACTTTTCCCAAAGGCCTCATTGATACATTTGTTAGTTTTATGAAATAAAGTATTTTCTAGGATTCTTTTTTTTGTTTTGTTTTGTTTAGATTGTGTAAGGACTGTTGCTTTTGTGCAAAGAAAGTTGAGAGGAAGTATTCCTTTAGAATGAAGAGTTTATTGAACATCCATGGGGAGGAGGGAGGGAAGCCAATATGCCAAAGTGCTCATGAGACATCTAGAAGTGTTGACTGGCATACATACTATGTGTTCTAGTGGGGTTCTATTTTATCCTTGCCCATGGAATATCTGCTCATTTTCTAGAGAAAAGAAAGTTAAGAACACTTAAAAATTACCTATACACAAGAAACCATCTTCTCTCTGCCCCCAATACTCATTCTGTGATGGTTAGTGATCTGATCATAAAGCCTTGAGATATCTATTAATGAAAATAGAATTTATTTTAAAGCTATTTTAACCAAAAATGGAGAGTTGACAGGAATATTTAACTGTTATACATGGCATCTGCATATAGGTCAAAATTATTTCAGTGAAGTTTGTAAAATCTATATGCATTCTCATATTAAATATCTTAACTTGGTAAGGTATAGATTAGGACTTGGAATTTGAATGGTCAAGTTTTTGTTCATTCATGATCACAGAGTTCAGTGGTTTCAAATTAAGTCTTATGTCACATACATTGTCAAAAAACCACATTGAGAACTCAGAGGGGACAACAAAACTTTTATTTTCAAATAAAAGAGCATTTAATCCAATCCCTACTAATTTATAAATTTTCATTGCTACAATAATTAATACAGACAAATATAACCTTTTTTCCTCCTTTACATCAGATAGCCTATTTTATATATGTGGACTTTTAGATAAACTCAAATTAATTTCAATGGAATTAGTGCCTTGATATGTGAGGGAAAGTGAAATGCCAATTACATTAAAGAAACTGGAACCACAGGAATGAAAATCAATCATACAGTGTTAATGCTTATGGTTTTGCATGAATGTATTGGACTGTCCCCCTAAAACTTTTATTCAAAACATTTAGACTAAATAGTATAATTTTTATTTAAGCAATATTTTCATCAGTACCATTTTTAAAATACTTATTTTGTAGATAGTTGTATCGGAAATATCAAATATAAAACTTCAAAATGTGACATAAGAATAAGCAAACTTAAATATTTTAAAACTAAGTTTTAACAAAATTGTTACACTAGTAAGAAATTATGTTTCTTAAAAAGATAAATCTCAAAGTATTTCTTGAAGTTAGGAAACTATAATTTTGTTAAGCTTCGCAAATAGGAAATTCTACAGTCAAGGTATTGTCAAAAAAGGACAATTTTCTTGAATTTCTGAAGTAAAATTTGGAAATTATCATCAAGATTGCCATGTCATGATTTTGTTAGCTACTTCAGTCAGAATGAGATAATTCTATAACATTAAAGGAATGTACGTAAGAATCAAATGATAATTTTTTAATATCAAATCTTTGTATCTAACCAGCCTATAATTTTGAAAAAAATTTATGCTTACTAGAAAAGCCATGTCTTCTCTTTAGGGCTCGTTTAGGAAGTTTGAACCCTTATTCTGAAGCAAAGCAACTAATGTGGCACATGGAAATATCTGAGTTGAACTGACTAAAATTGTGGTGTTCAGCTAGGAAGAAATGAGGAATTGATTTTTTAAAAGAAAATAAAAATAAATGCAGTTTGGCAAGGGATGAAAGCAAATTTTAATTTAAAGTTAAATCAAAGAAACAAAGCAATCATACTCAATATTACATTTAAAGAGCAGATTGAATTGTCAGAATTCTCTGCATAGGAAAAAACCAAAAGTTTCCCTTTAAATTCAGTAAATGATTTAAAAGATTACAATTTGCTTATCTTTTGTATGGATTAAGGAAAACAAGTTTGTTCCTTAAGACACACAATTTATATCTATTTCACCAGTGAAGTATTACGAAAATTAGGAGCTGGCCAATCATCCAATAAATTCTGTCAAATAGACAACTTAGATAATAAACATATTTGCTGATAAACAGCAGGTTGGTTTTTTTTTCTCTACTTAAATTATAAAGATCACCACTTCAATTTCCTACTTCATTGATTGCTTTCAGCCAGAATGACCCATGGCCTAGCTATAAGAGAATAAAAGTGAAAGATGGACACGTTGAAATAAGTTTACTTTGATGAATATATTTACTTATTCCATATGTATATAAACTGTTCTTTAAATTGTTAGTATATTTTTAGAGAGAGAGTGAATATTTTCAAAAAGAGAGGAAAAGGAAGGAAAGAAAAAGGGAGGAAGGAAGGAGGGAGGGAGGGAGGAAGGGAGGAAAGAGGGAGGGAGGGAAGAGGAAAAGGAAGGAAAGAGAAAGGAAGGAAGGAAGGGAGGGAGGGAGAGAGGGAGGAAAGGAGAGATAGAG